AAATATAATGTACTCCTTCCTAGAATGGCAAAAACTAAGCGATGGTGAATGTGAACGTTATACCCGCATACCCGATAAATATGCCAATTCGAAACCAGGATTTCCTTATACCAGCAACTATTTTGTTTCCCAAACAACACCAATACCGAGTACAAATACGTTAGCACTCGACCCAACCCCAAAACCACTAAAATTAAAATATCGTAAGAGTAAAAAGCGAAATTTTAACCCTAAAAGAGCTGTTAATAGACGTTCAAATTCCCATAGATGTTGTTCACGATCGCATTATCGTAATCAATTCGGCCACGAAAATATGAAATGTAAATGTTGGACAGATACAACTCTCACTCTTACAACACCATCTACTCGTTTGTCATTATATGGACCACAAACAGAATCGTATATAATGCGTTTAGTTAAAGATAAAGGTAATTCGTTTTTTTTTTTATTTATATGTATATTGAATTCATTTTAAATACAATTTTTTAATTTCTACACTTTTAGTTGAAAGAGCAATGATGCGCTAAACCGAAATGAAGTATTTCGAAATATTTATTTTTTTTATACCGTTTTATAATTTTCAATAAAAAATGTACTTTGTATTATATATGTATTTCAATTGGATTTTTTTCATATTTATAATCTTACTATTTCTTTGTAGGAAAATACACAATTTTATGGCTTAGATGGTTAGATGTAAAATTAAGGGCCAATATTTAGGTGAAAGATTAGCGATTAAATTAAAATTAATCCTCGAAAGATGTTTTTGAGTACTCAATTAGTTAATTTTGTTTGCAAGTTTAAGCGCCCAATGGAGGTGGTTTAAACTTAAGCACGAAATGCAAAAGTGTAATCAGCTTATGCAAAAAATTAATACAATTTTTATAAATATAAACATTAAAATGTTCTATTTATTGATTAGTATAATGGTATACGCACAATTAGGACGAACGACGAATTTCGCTTAGCACGACGAACGAAATTGTTTTAAAACCAATTCCGGTAGCTCGAATTTGCTGAAATTTGGCGGTTGTGAGAACAGCTAATGACAATACAATATAATGTTCGAATATCCGAAATTATATTCGGAAATTCGAAGTTATGTTCGAAAAATTTTTTATGCTCTTAAAATAATCTCTGGGTCATAAAAACTAAAAATAAAATTTTCGAAAATTCGAACTTAAGTTCGAAAAATTTTTAAAGCCATTAAAACCAGTTCTATGTTGGAATATTTAAAATAAAGTTCGAAAATTCGAAGTAATGTTCGAAAAAATTTTGAAGCCGTTAAAATAATCTCAAAATTGGGGATAGTCACAAAAATATAATTTTAGTTCTTTTCGAGGCCAACTCTTACATTTTCTAATTTCGAAATAATGTTCGAATAAATTTTAAAGCTGTTAAAATTATCTCAAAATCGTGGAGATTCATAAAAATATAATTTTTGTTCCATTTTCTTACTTTTTCCAATTCCGAACAAACAAATTTTGAAACGAATTCGCAGTACGAATAATTTGATTGTGTTCCATTCGACGAATTTACGCAACGAATTTTTGTCGACTAGTTCGTCGTGCTATACGAAATTCGTCGTTCGTCCCAATTGTGCGTATAGCATAAATTATGAACACTTCAAAATAAATTTTGTTGTTTTAAATTTTAGTTTTCATTAATTTTCATATTAAATTTACAATTGTCTTCTTTTTTATAAAATATGCAACAAACAGTGAAAAAATCTAGCGATCCGTTTTTAATGGAACGTCATTAAAATAACTACAACGAATTTTATGTTTTCTAATGTCAAATTTAAGTGATCACTATAACGCAGACAACTGGCATAAAAACTCGTATAGCATAAATAAGTTTTATAGGAACAAAAATGTTTTTCTTTTTTTAATAACGGTTTTTAATAAGGATTCCATCAGAAAATGACTTTAACGTGCATAGCTCGTTTAAAAACACCAATATAAAATCTCTCTGTAAAATTTTATGAGGATCGATCAATAATTGACCCAACCCCCCATATAAGGTACATTCCAAAAAAAAGACTTTAGCGCTCATAACTTGTTTCAAAATGCGAAACGAAACTCTACATAAAGAAGTTTTAAGGGAACTAAAAATTAATTGACCCTATTTCCCATATGTATAAGCTTTTCTTCTCATGAACATGAAGGGTATAATAACACACATTTTAGCCCTCTTATCAATTGGAGTGACTTTGTTTTACGTAAAATTTAGGAGATCTAAAATTTACTTTTTTCTCAATTAGAACTTTAATTAATTACAGATTTTTTATACATACAAAAGTTGATTTTTGAAATTTAAGATTTCTCTCAGTTTTTCAATTCATAATTTATCCAAAAATCAGAACGCATCAATTAATATTAATATTTTACATTGTATTTGCATTTAAACTAAACGGTTTTTAATGGCCATTTCCGGAAATTTCTCAGCGACTAACATTTGGTTGGCAACACTAAAGCGTTAAGTCGATAATTGTAGAGGTGAGTTTCTACACTAAATGTACCCGAAGATATATGTTTAAACAAACTAATTGACGCTTTTATTTGCAATCAATGGAGTCCGGTTTATTTCAAAGGGAAATTAAAAGGTAAAACGTAACTTATTAATTTTTCTGTAGCTTCTGTAATTAATTTTTCTGTTACTAACTAGCCTGACACCGGGCGCAGAAACTTTCTCCTCTGAGGTGGATCCAACACCAGCTTCGCCAAAAATTTTACATATCAAAATTATAAGGATTATCGTTTTATATTGGAATATTAAATTTTTGGATTGCAACTAGAAGACAACGCATTTTTTTATATATTTTTACTAAGGGGCCGAATTACCGAGTAAAATTTGTATTCGATACGAACGCTTATGCGATAATTCGGCCACAGAATAAAAAAAGTCTTCTTCAAGAAAATAATCTAATATCAACTACATTAAGAAATATTCAAATATAAACTGGATTGGTGATCTTGATTTAATCTCTAAAATCTTTGCTATCGGAAGAAGTAATTTAAAATATTTTAAACTCTTTTTATATCCAATATTTATCGATTTTTCACCATAATTTTTTTAAGTGTATCATGTAAACTGCAAAGTTAAGTCCGGCAACCTTTGTCTTTCATACGGCAGCACCAAACATATGTTTTTTGTGTGTCAAATGAAATTAAAAAAAAAATGAAAATAACAACAAACACACTTTTTGTTTATTTTTAAAATCTAAATTGTGCGTAGGTCGCGAAAATGCAATAGAAAAAGATATTCTCACGATTAAACTAGCGGAAAGTAAAGAAAATTTCTAGAGAGTATAAATCAAGCAGACCAAGATGACACCAACAAATTAATACGTGCGTTTAGAATGCGGACACAACGAATACGAAAAGAATAAATAAAACGAATGTTGTCATTGGCAGTGAAGAAAATTGTGTGAACTAGTGAACGGGTGACTTTTAGCCAAATGAAACATACATTTGTATAGCAAAAATTATTAATAATAAACCAAAAAAAAGCTGTGATAAATTACATAACAACGAAACGATATACATAAATACAAAGTGATAACACATGTCGAACTCCTTGCCCGCTGCACCAACGCCACCACCATCACTCTCACCAACATTGATAAAATGTAAAAATAACAAAATGTTTTCAACAATGGCTATAGCTAAAAAACCTTTATTAGAAGAATGTTTATGGGCCATCGATTATCCAGAATTGCAAAAGGCTTGCTTTTTAGCCCGAATTTGTTCCGATAAACCACCTGTGAAATGTGAATTCTATAACATTGCCAGTATATTACAGGTGGGACCCACCTGTGGCCTAACCGCCTTAAGTATGTTGCTCGGCGGGATACCGCCGGCTGAACAACTTTTGCAGGAAGCCCAACAAAAACATTTCACGAATAATGGTGAAATGTTTAGTGCCCATAATTTATACCAATTGATTTGTGATAATATACCCATGATCAACAATAACAACAATCCCCACAACAACAACAACTATTGCCAATCAAACACTCTAAATGCCAATGACATAGACAACAACAAACTATTAAAGAATAATACAACAAAACACAACAACAATGTGATCGAATGCCAAATGCATGAAGGTCGTTTAAATTGTGCCAAGGTGAGAGAGAGTCTACAGCAGGGGGCTTGTATGTTTGTGCCGTATCCTTTTTTAGAAAGAAAATAATACAAAAATTTTATTATTTAATTCATATATTTAATTGAATTAAATAAGAAATAAGTTATATATTAGAAAGAAAGTATAGTCGGGCATGACCGAACTTGTGATACCCTACACGCGGTTTGAATATTATTAAAAAGTTACTTATTTTTTTTAATTTACCTTAATTGCCATTTATTTGAGAAAAACAGGCTTCAAAAGAATTACATCATATTGCAGGGGTTTATAAGGGAATTGGTACGTTATAAGTATGAATTTGTATGGGACTAGGGTCAAATAAAAGTCCGATTTTATTGGAGAAACTACTATATATGACATACAAATTATCTCTGAAACTATTTTTGCTAGTCCGATTTTATGAAGCCTAGGTGAAAAAATGGTTCGATTTGAACAATTTTCTAAAAACATGGTCCTTGGTCCAAAAAAGCAAATGTGCCAAATTTCATCAAATTATTTTAAAAATTTCTGCCTAGTTCAGTATATGTATGTACTTTGATTCCTTATAGATGACAAAGTCGATCAAAATTCCGCAATTTATATATCACGGAATGTATATTATGTATATTTCGGACTGTTCTTAATATGTAAAATGTATACCAAATATCATATTTTTTAACAGTTTATACAGAATTATAGATTTTATTTTTAAAGAAAAAAATTTAATTAAAAAAGCATAGTTAAGTTAATATTTTTAAATATACTATGGTGAAGTGAATATAAGATTCTACATTGCTCAATATAGCACTAATTGATTTTATTTGAAAAGTCTGGCTATATTTTTTTGTTTTCCATCATGTTGCCAGATGCTTATAAGTGTGATTTGTTTGTAAACGTTTGACAGTTCTAGTTGTGAGGTTATGCTTATTAATATTATTTCCAAACAACAATTTTCTTAGCACGAATTGAGCTTTTATTTGCAATTTTTCTAATTTTTACTAGTTGGGTTTTACAAATAACGTTAATAATTTATCTTAATTTTAAATTTATCACAAATAAAATGGCCACCGAAGAAGAACAAGTAAGTTGATCAAAAATTATAATAGTAAATAGTGTAAATAGATTTTGTTTTTGTAGACGCAAGTTGTTCTGCCGGTAAAGGAACCCTTGGATTTGATACGTCTCAGTTTGGATGAGAAAGTTTACGTTAAAATGCGTAATGAACGAGAGTTAAGAGGACGTTTACATGTAAGTCTACAAAAGTTTATATTTTCAATTATGACTTATTTGTTAAGTACCACTAATATTTTTCCTGTGGAATAAGACCAAGTTAACTAATACCCAATGAAAGGCTCTATTCTTATTGCTGGTATCAAAATTTCATCCGCTCTGATGATTATTATACCCTACAACATTGTAGTAGATAAGCATATAAATATAGTTTAATAACCAAATACCTATAATAGTAGACCTATGTATCAATGTCACTAAAACTGACTTGTTCCGATTTAAGTGTACAAATGGAATTGGAATCAATTTCTGAGCTATTTAGAAATGGATGTGAATCATGGTATGTGCAGCACTTTATAGAAGTCGCTATATCTTCCGAAATTAAAACAAATGTACTTATAACAGATGTAGACGTGCTCGGAGTTGCATAATATTATCCCTTTTTATGAGATTTTATTTGCTGGAGTCCGCAATGCCATGGCCGTTAATTAGGAAAATATATTTATAATCCTTTTAAAAAAGAAATATCAAAATAATAATTTTTTGTAGGTATCAAAAATTTAAATGAATTCTCGTTGCTGTATCAACACTAGTAGAACATTACAATATAGAAAAATACTGAAATGAATTAGTGATTTTTGAATAAATTACTTAAAAATCTTCACAAGTCCAAGATAGTTGCTAAATGAGAAAGTGGGAGTTTAACATTTAATGTCATAGGTCCCGAAAACATAGTGTATTTATATCTCTTTTATCCTAGTACTAGCGGTGCCAGGTATGCTTTGCTGGACCTCGAGTAGAAATGTGGACTCTCCACGTAGAGCTATATAACCCGTGGTTTAATCGTAATTGACTAAATTAATAATGCGACGCCATCTAACGGATAGTTTTAAAACTTAACAGGAACTCTCCTCATAACTACTTGAACACATATTTGAGTTTTTGTCCTATTAACTGCAGTTTATCGATTACATACAAACATTACTCTTTAATTTATATAGATAGATAATCAACTTTGCGATTCCATTATAACTACATATACATATACGATAGGTAATAATTAAAAAAAATATGCTTCAGTAGCAAGTTTTTCCGAAATTAGCACTATTCGAAGATCTATAACGTAACAATTCCTTCCAAAAAAGGTCATAGATCTGTTAAAAACATATCAAAATATTATAAAAATACGAAAACGACGTTCTTTAATATTTAATAAATTTATTATAGGCATTTGATCAACATTTAAATATGGTTTTGGGTGATGCAGAAGAAACAGTTACGACTGTTGAAATTGATGAAGAAACTTATGAAGAAGTATATAAAACAACAAAACGAACTATACCCATGTTATTTGTAAGAGGCGATGGAGTTATTTTAGTGTCACCACCTATGCGTGTAGGTTAAATCTTAAAAAAATAAAAGTGAATTTTAAAATAATTTAAGTGAATAAAGATTAAATAAGAAAAACATTTACAAAACTCTTTTCTTTAAAAAAATTATTACTTTGAAAATATTCCTTAACTTAAATAAAATATAATTTAGTTATGATCCCGATTTCAATCACTCGCCCTGTTTAAAATTTGGCCACAAAGCCCACTGGGCTTTAATTATAGGCTTTTTAATAAGCGATAGAAATGAGGTTAGTATAAATTGTTAAAAATTTATTATGTATTATGAAAAACTTTCTAAAAATTTTAATTTTATATTACAGTTTTTTGTTTTAGCGCGTCATGGAAAAGCCAAAAATCTTGCCGTTTGGTCTTTACAATCGTTAAGTGATAGTAATTCAAATTTAATTGAATTTGCTCAACCTAAAGGTTATCCAGATTGTGATTTTCTCTTACCACCGGGTGGCATTGGTGGTGATTTAGGTTTAAGAGATCGTGCCATTATTGTCAAAGGATTACCGCATGAAATTATATCAATATCATGATTAATATATTTATTAAATGACGTTACAACGATTATTTTACATTTAAAACAGCCATTACAACATATATTTATAATTATTTATGTATTTATTTTGCCTTTTTAACTCTAATTTTTAGCCATATATAAAGTAATGTACTTACAGATGCATATATATACATTTCTATTTACAACGATTTTTTTTTATTTTAATTATATGTTTATTTTATTATTTATTATAAATGGAAATTGGGTTTATAAATTGAATTTTAATGTTTTTTTTTTATTATGAAATAAATCATGATACATATCTAAATACGTTAAATAAAATTTGTTTAATTTATAGTATGATGAAATGTAGAAATAAAGGTAAAGATATTGGGGTTTTAGTAAAAATTGGATTTTTAGTGAAAAAAATATAGAAAAAAGTTTCTAAAATTTTTAATATTTCCAAGACGTCGAACGCAACCGTCGAACACACTTAAAGTGATAATAAGGTCTAATAAAAGCAATACAAATACATATAATAAAGTAAGAATATGTACAGTGTCTCTCATAAGTATTCGAATTTAATGTATTATGAAAACAGACATCATTAATTAATAGATTTTGCGGGAAAAATAAATAAATAAATTTATTATGTTGTCCAGACAGTCCTTAAATTTTATACCACATTTTAAAAATTAAAAAAAAAATAATTTACTTAAACTAATTTAGATTTTTTTAAAAAAAGTGCAAAAAATAGCTTCACAAAAGTATTCGAATTTTTTGTATAAATCATATTTAAATTAGCACTATGAAGTAAAAATAAATAATTAAAATGAAATTAATGTTTTGTATAGTAGCCTTTATTTTTAAAAACAACTTCCAAGCGTCGTGGGACCGTTTCTACCAATTTATGGAATAGTTCTGGCGTTATTCAAATTCTGCTCTAAAATTGGCAAGTGGACCTTCTGTGGACCTACCTTCAAAATATGGCAGAGCAACTTGGGTCCTTTACAGTTGGTTTTAAGTTAGATTATTCCAAGGCATCTTCAAGCTTTCGCCATATCATTTGACGACCATCTGAGCCAAAAATATTATATTTGTTCTAATCGTCGAAGATAACCTCCTTCCAGAATCCAATATTCTTACTTATGAGTCTATTTGCGGAGACACTTAACATCGATTAACTTCGATATGAACGGTTTCCACCTTGGTACTTGACCATGCAAATTATTGCTCCCTAGTACTTTGCGCACAATTTCGACACTAATTTTTATTCACAGGACTGTCCTGAGTTCATTGTTAATTTTTGGAGCTGATAGATGAAGGTTCCTTCGGTATTTCCTCAGTATTTGGACGACTTGATAATGGCAAATACTCGATGGAATTCTTTGTTCCATGCGTGTAATGACAAAATATATTGTCGATGGGAATCTATCAAACATTTCCTATATGTATTTAATTGATCGGCCTTGATTATACAGATATAAATTAATTTTTTAATTTGAATTGATCAACTCTTTCTCTTTGAACATTTTAAGCGCTTACACAGGAAGGATTTACAACATAATTATGCAAATTTCCAAAAAATATAATGTTAAATATTCCATATAACCACTACCTGCATAATGGGTTAATTAATGGGCAATAAAACACGTGTTCAAGGTTTCTAATAAAGTTCTTAGAAAAAATTCGAATATTTTTGCGCAGTACCATTAATGAGTTTTTATTACTTTTTTCTTGTATTTTGTAAAAATAATATAAATTAATAAAATTTTATTAAAAAATTTTAAATACCATTATTAGCAAGTAGCATCATAAAATAACACAGTAATTCATAAAAAATAATAAATTCGAATATTTATGTGAGACACTGTATGAACATTCTTAAGCATATTATTATTATTATTAGAAAAATTAAAAAAAAAAATGTATTATATGGGAACAAGGATTAAATATGGACCGATCCTCATAACATTTTCTAGTGTGATTTCCATCAACATAAAACTTATGACTAATTAAAACACAATACTAGTATTTATAATTGAGTATGTAAGAGGAGTAGGGTGTTGAACAAAATTATTATCAAAGGTGCGAATGTTAGAAGGGTGTTTTTTTGTACAGTCTCTTCTCATAGAAATTCCCATATGTAAAAATAGTCTTCAACTAAAATGTGGAAAATTTAATTGTCCACAAAAATGTAGTGCCTTCTTAAGTAGAAGCAATCAGAATACGCGAGATATTTGTAAAAAAGATTTCTTGATAATTTTTCTATAACTTAAAGGCAAAGGTGGCCACTATTGACAACCTCAGTAAAATTACAGAATTTTATTTATGGTACACAAGTATGTATACAGTCAGAAGGACTAAAGATGAAAATGTGAAAAATTGGTGGGTAATACTATTTTTTATTTCCATATGAAAATTATTTAAAAAGTTTTCTCATGATTGACCTGTGTTATCTATTTCCCTCCCAAAACAATAAAACACTTTATTTACCATTTAGGGTTTTTAAGTCTTTCAAATATTTTTTTGTTATATTTTATTGATTTTGTTTTTAAATATTTATGTATGTATATTAAAAATTCTTTTCACACTACATAATAGCAAGCAGAAATATGTTTGTATATTTTCAATAATTATAATATTGAAATTATTATAATATAATGTTTACTTTTTTACACATATGTATGTATGTATGTAGTTTTTTAAACGTTTTGTTTTCTTAAATTTTTCTTGATACAAACAATTAGAACTCACATATGCTTTAAATATATGTATGTTTTATGTGTATTACACAAATGATAAATAATTATTTATGTCTGTTTATTTTCTATAAATGTATATAAGTTTTTTAATATATAAACTATATAATAAATGGAACGAAGAATGCAGGAGATAGGATTAATTTTACTTGGGAATAAATGAAGTGTTGATGATTTTGATATCTTTGCCTAATTATTATTTCGAATATTTTTTTTTTTCAAATGTACACACAACTACAGGATATATGTATATTATATAGTTTTCATATATTTATATTCTAATAATTTATAAACATAAATATAAAGATATTTGCTTTTATTATATATATTTTCAAAATTCTTATATCATTAAAATCACAACAATAAGAGTTAAGATATCCATAAGGATTTATATATTATTATATGTATTGCAGTATAAATTTTTAATTTAATTCAAAAGGCTTCGATTCAATATGAAATATTATGGAAGTTTTAAATTATTTTCATCTTTGTGGATTGATTTTATATTCAACAAATTGCTTCTGAATGGAATTATATCCAATTATTTTTATATTGAACAATTAACAAACGATATCTTATTTTTTTCTCATTTAATTAAACATTATAGACAGAGTATAATTGGAAATTTTGTTTATTCATTTGTTTTTTATAAGAATAAAATAAAAAAAATTGGCGGTTGTCCAACACTTACAGTTTTTAATTACTGTTGTCGTCATAGTCATTTTGTTAAATTGATATTAAATTCAAAAGTCCTCTGCATTTTAAATTTGTAGAACATTTTAAATAAAAAACAAACAACAACGACAGTTGTAATAAAAGTCCTTGATATAAAATTTTTAAAATATAATTTTTGGAATATTTTTTTTTATCAAATGAATAAACTTTTAGGCATTCTGAAATCATTTAAGATAACAAATTTAACTCTTTACAAAAATGTATTTAATTTCAATAAATAGCATTTGGTGAGAATCGTCTATAGAAAGAATTTTCTTAAATAATTTATAATTGGATGTACACACATATTATGAAATGAAATTATGAAATTATTCATTTCATTAAATTATTTTATAAAATTTTATGTTTTTATATAACTATTGTAATAAAATGTCAAAATCTATTTCTATTGATGGGAGGATTAAATTACTCTTTTTATTAGTTTAGTTATTTAAATATTTTCTTTGTATTGTTTAAAACATGTTGCTTATTCAAGTTTAACTTTATTAATGAAGTACTATATTAATTTATGTATATGTTTGTTTGTAAAAATGTCTATATATTTCATATGATAATTAACAACTAAAACAATAAAACAAGTTAATTTAATATTTTAATGGAAATTTATTTTTGTTTATCAAACAACATTATACAGTTTATAGTACAGCTTTTTATGTTTTTTTTTTTCTTTTAAAATTTTGTTTGTCAGTAATGTCTAGTTTTTTTTTGTGTTTTAATTAAACTTTAATATGGATAATAGTAGTAGTAATAGTAAGAATAGTTAGTAGTAAGTAAACTATTTCAGCAACAAATCCAACAATACATTGATTTTAAATATTGATTATATAGTTTTTCTGAAATTTATTTATTTATTTATTTTTTAAATGTAGTTTTTATTTTAGCATAGTTTCATAATATGTATAGTTTATTTTTATGTAAAGAATGATACGTTTCAATTTTTCTTTATTATTAGCATTTAAAGGAAGTTTTGTTTGTCTATATCATGTTTTGTTTGTCTAAAATTTAATTTGGGAATTCTTGTATATTTGTATTTTATGTTTAAATATTTGTATATAATTTGTATATGGGAAACGTTTTATTTACTATTTGCTATTATAATTGCTCTTAGTTATCTATATTTCTTTTCTATGCAAAAAAAAGTGTTAACATATCGTATATACAAAATGTAAGTGTTCTAATAATTACATAAACTAATAGGTTACAGAAGGGACATTAAAAAAAGTCTTAGCTATTTGAATTTTAATTCATCATTTTAAGATTTACCCCCTTATTCACAAACAACAATTTTATTTTATAAAAGGTTTATAAAACAAAATTTCCATACAAAATCTAATTTATAAACCGTTTATAAAATAAAAATTTTGTTTGTGAATAAGGGGGTTACTATTTAACTACATAGTTTCAAAATAAATTTATTTCTCAGAAATAACACAGGCCAACAAATTTCTAACCAAAAGACCAAAGTAAACTTCTTTTAAGGATTGAGTGGAGCTATATCCGAATTTTTCCATGTTCTAAAGATTCAAAAAAACGCTGTTTTTTTTAACTTAAGAAAAACTTTGTTTTTTACACTTTTTATGTTAATAAATTATGATTTTTAGCCCTTTTTAAAGTGGTTCTACTTAATTAGCTTAAGAATTGTTGGCAAATTTGGTATTAGCACCAGAATAAATACATGACAGAACAAATATGCATGTCCGACCATATGTTACCAATGAGTTAAGATGAGAAATTTTCTAAAAGTGGGATTATATGGGGGCAAGGGTAAATATGCGCCTATCCTTATAAATTTTGGTAGAGGGATTCACGTCTACATTAAAGTTACAATTTATGCAGAATTTCATAGTGATATTAGTGTTTATAAGTGAACTTTGACCTTCAATTAATTTTCTGATGGGGACTTTGTGTGGGCGCTAGAGTCTAATGAGGCCCGATCATTACGAATATCGGCAGTATCATTTAAACTTATACAAAACTAAGTATTGCCGATTTTTGTAGAGATACACAAAAAATTTAGTATAATTATGAGCTCAAAAGCCCTATTCAAGGGGCTTGGTCCGATTTTAATACGCTTCGTCTTCAAAATTGCAACCCGTAGCATGCGCACAAGATTTACATGGACATACAGACAGACGGACATATCCAAATCGACTCAGAACGTGATTCCGTGCCGTTTGGAATACTTTAAGATGGGTAACCAATAGTTTTGGGTGCTGCAAACATCAGCCCAAACACATAATACCCCACCAAATATAGTGGTGTAGGGTATAATCATGCGTTGTAGAACTAGTTATAAAATATAATAAAATGCATTTTAATTTTGACATTTATTGAATAAGCGTGAAATTCCAAAACGCCAGTCTTTGCTATTTAATAATTTATATATCGTATGCAAATAATTCAATTTTATTATCGAAATTCTCTTTACTCAATTTCAGTTGACGAACCCCTTCAATACTTTAGAGCTTCAGTCCAACATCGAATCGAATTTCGTCCGATTTATATGCTCTTGTCATGAAAGTTGTATCCATTGTAGTAACTTGTGCTAGAGCTTTTACAGATTTTTAAAGAAACAGGTCTGTCACACATTTCGATCGGAATGGTTTCAATTCCGCACTATTATTCCAATCGTTTTTGTTTTAGCCTCTCCAAATTCCGAATTATGTAGTTCACAAAAAAATTATCGATTTTATTTAAACTTGATTTTGTTTAGTTTATAAAAACCAGAATCGTATTTTCATTCCGAAAGAATAAAAAATATAATTCCACTTTTGATCGGAATGGAATTCTGTGACAGGCCTGAAAGCCTTATACCATGAATTTGAATTAAAAAAAAAAACATTTCCGTAACCAGAATTAGGGGTAATACAGCAGTTCACTAAAACAATTTAAAATTTGAAGACTTACTAAAATTTAAAAAAATTATTAATCATACCCAGCAAAAATTGTATTAGTTCCACAACTAGTTCTAGAACGTATGATTATAGCCTGTACTCGTTCTACTTTGGCGTTGAGACCAATGATTTTTGTTCGAAATTGTCACCTTCGGAACTGGTTCTGTGGAAGTGTTATGGAGTCGACACTCGTTCTACGGAACGCTTCTGGAACCAGTTCTTCCATCAATGATTTTTGTTCGAATTTGTCACCCTCGGAACTAGTTCTAGGGAAGCTTTAGAGAACATATACGCTTTACCTTCAAATAATTCCTTTTCCCCGCGTTTTTTTGTTCGAAACTATTAAGATTAGGACCAAAATTGAGAAACTGTTGAGGAATTATTATTCATATTTAGAAAACGTACTTACATATACATACATATGTATCTTACTTAAAATGTATGATCATTCTGCCGCACCTATAATCTGCAGCTCGCTTTCCATTCTCCCAGTACAATTCAATTAGGAATTTCTTTAATTCCTTATAGTCCAGTTCTATGCAGAAATATACATATGAAAGCGTTTTCTATTTCGATAAAATTAATTTTATTAATTTTTAATTTTTTGACATTTTTTTCAACTGATCCCAAGAAGTTGTTTCGGAACTAGTATGCGTTCCATTGAACTAATGTAGTAGCAATGTATAACTAGTTTCAAAGAAGTAGTTCCTTGAAAGCTATTTAGAAGTATTTAAGAACCATAGCAACGTTTCGAGGAACGGGCTCTAGAAGTAATGGTGACACCACTAGTTCCAAGGTTGTTGTTTAAGAATCTGAAGTGGTTCCGTTTGCACTCGTTCTATAACTAGTTGTTTTAAGAACAAGTTCTAAAATTTTTCCTGGGTACATTTATTTAATTGTAATAAAATAATAATACAAATCTAAATTCAAGATTCAAATTTTCAATATATTATTTAGTTGGGTATAAAATAAGCTTTCAATTGAGTGAAACGTTTTGCAAAAATTAGTTTACCATAAAAATTGAATTTCGAAAACAAATGTTTAAGCTGTAAAAATATTTTAAATTATTTTATAATAATTAGTGTAAAATTTTGAATCATATTATTATTAACTGAAGCTGATATTTGTCAATTCATTACTTAACATTAATAAATGTAGTGAATTATTTTGCACTATCACTTACTGTGAGTAAGAAATGAAAGCTAGTACACTACCCTTAACTCTGTCCGTAACTAACACAAGCATTTTGATAAATATTCGTTAAAAATCTAGACTATTATAAATATGACATCTTTTTAATCTTTGATACCAAAATATTCGGCAAAAACTAAAGAAAAAATAAATAATATAACGAAATCAAAGTAGTTTAGTTGTTTAAGTGTTTAGATTTATTTTCATTCAGTCCTTATATTTATAAAACACAAATTTTTGCTTGGTAGACAGGCTCTTAAATTAAAAAAATAAATTTAAAATTTATTTTCATTAACTTTGAAGCTCATTTTCTTAAAGTACACTAAACAAATGAAAATAAATAATAATTAAAAAAAAAAACTGTGAACACTAACATGATGTATACATACAACAAATTCGTTTAAATCATTTATTCTTTTTGTTATTTATTTCATGTTTTATTTGTTTTTATAAATGAATCTATGCCTTTTTTTCTCGATTTATTTATTTCTGTTCTTTTCATTTTGCTCAATTCAAATCAGGCTTTTTGTGTTTCATATGTATAATATTTATGTTGTTATTTTTTATATATATAATTAATAATTATGTATTATGAATAATTTTTATACAATTATTTACTAATATATTTCATATATATATATGTGGAGTAAAAAAAATAATAAAATTTAAAAAATAATAATAAAAATTTTAAAATTAAAAAAATACAATTTCTAAAATAGAAAATCATAATTAAAAATTTTAAATGTTTTAATAAGGAGTAGTTTTCTTTAACCGTCATTTTAACATTATTATTTTTACATAAAAAAGAACGGTTAAATGTATTAGTAATGTATGTGTATGTATGTATATTTTATATATGTATGTATTTATATTGTAGATATATCTAGGATATTTTCTTAACAAAATGACTAGGATAATTCAGAACATGACATTGGAGTACAACCAATTAGAGCAATTGGGAAATTTTTAACATGCGTTTGCCATTGCGATGATAATTGGAAGAATTTAACGCCAGTCCATTCGGTACCATCAATATAAACTGTAAAACAAGAGTAACAAGTGTTTTAATATATATTCTTTAAATATATATCAATATAATAAAAAGTACCTCTTAATGGTATGGGATGCGATTGCTTGGGTGAGCATATTAAACGTGCTACACCCTCAACACATTGCTCCTTTTCGAGATCACGATCTTTTTCCTTTTTCTTACCCAAACGCATTACTATAAAGAGTATAATTTAATTAAAATGTGTCCATTTTTTGTTTTCTATTTAATATACGACTTACTTTGCTTTTGTTTCTTTTCTTTGGTAGCAAATGACAAGGTTAGACCATTTGACATTTCACCCAATTGAGCATTTTGTGGCAAACGCCAGACTTGCAGACTTCTAAACGTACTCTTAATACTATTTTTACCACCTTGATCACTACTGCGAGTATTGCTCTTATCCTTTGAGGATGTATGCTCACCCGGTCGTATTATTGGCCAGTAATCCACCTGTAACTCTACCGACTCACTGCCCACTTGCTGGGGTGTAGCACCGAAACCAACTTCACGTTGAGAGGATGCTGAGGAGGGTGGTGTTTGCAAAGGTGGTGATATTCGGCCACTTTGTGGTGGTGAGCCGGATAACACAGGACCACTGGCACTATTTGAAACTCCCTGTAAACTGGATGATAAATTCTGGGTAATTGCATTTAAAGGAGTTTGAGAATTCGAATTGCCAATGGGTATGGCTACGCTGGTATTTGATGTTTGTTGGGAAGTTGTTAGGGTCGCGTTTTGAGCACTGCTTTCATCAAGATCTATTGATGCCTGTGGACCTTCCAAATAACCAATACGTACATCCTATTTTGAAAAGATCAAATTTAGTTTGTTTGTCTTCATAAAATTAAAATGGCACTACTTACACTAACAAATGGCACAAATATTTGACATGAATCCTCTTCTTTGTAGTTAACCATGGCTTCAGCTATGGGTACTTGAGTGCAGGGTCCAGCCGCATGCAAATATCGTTGTATACGATTAACTAATTCTACAATATCAGATTTATTGGCCGTGGCCGAATCAGCCAGGGAAGACGATAACGCTGTAGCATTAACCGCCGTCACAGCACTAACAGCAGCCGCTGTTTGGGCAGCTCTCTCGCACAGTTGATACCAATTTTCTGAACCAAACATGGCGGCATAGGCCTGATCCATCTGACTTAGATATCTTGCAATAGCACTACTACCAATGGGTATAATATAGAAACGTAAATGATTTAACCAATCTGGTGGTCGTACACCCATTAGCTCGACGTAGTGTCTTAAAGCAGCACCTTGTAACCAATCGCCGCCAATTAGTAGGATTTTCACTGTGGTGGGTGGTTTGGCATTCGAGTTGCAACTGCAAGAAAAATGAACAGCATATCTTTAATATTGAGTTTTGAATTAAATATTTCCCTTTCTACTTACTATTTCTGTATCTTGCCCATTAGAGCTTGTAGCACAGCCTTAACTTCAGCTGTATTTTGGGGCACAAATGCCGGCTTAAATGAATTCGCAAATAGTGCTGTTAATTTTGGTACTAAACTACTACCGCTTAAAGCTTCCGGTGGACTTATTATTGTTACCACATCGGGTATAACTGAATCCTCACTGGCAAATATGCGACTTAACTGATCCAGCAGCATTTTACGTGGTTCCACATTGGTGGGTGACAAACATGTCTCTAATACTGAGCGTGGTTCGGCACTTAAACTAAGTGACTGTTTCTTTTTACCACCACCACCCGGTGTACTGCTCGAGGTTCTAAATAAACGAGATCTCTTTTCATTCGATGCTGGGGTAGTGGTGTTAGTGTTACTAACAGACGTTGCATTATTGGCATTTTGTCCAGTTGCTGTCTGCAAATTATTACTGGTACTAACAGGTGTCAATTGATGCTGTAGACGTATAAAATTCTGATCACCGCGTGGTGGACTATTCTGGGGATCAGATGTTTGACCATCTGTATAGGCAGCATTGCCTTCATTACCGGAACTATCATTACGATTATCACAAATACGATCTAAAGAGAAAAAGTAAATGAAATAGATATAAAGTTGTAATTATTTTTAATATTTATTTGTGTGTAATTTAAAAGCTAAAGGAAACAATAATGAACATGTTTTTTTTGTTAAACATCTCTTTTCAAATGGACACAGACAAATTTGTCTACAGGGAAGACAAACATGTATTTAAGGTGAAACGTGCTTGTGTTGAGTTTATGTATATAAAAAGCTACAAGTGACAATGTCAAGTATGTAGTGCATCAGATTTTGTATCAATTTAACATAAGAGGAACTGAAAAAATGCTGTTATACATTAATATATATATAAACTTGGGATATATGAATAAGTTAATTGTTGTAACAGGCAAAGATACCTTATATCGCGACACTATTAGATTGGACATGTTCTCTTACTTAACAATAAAACTTATCAAATTATAGTACATATATACAATTTTGAAGCGGAAAATGATCTGGTACAATATGGGACACTCTACGAGTATAGCGACTTTTCATCCTTTTTAAACCTTTATATCTTTTTTGGAAACTAATTCTGTGTATATTTTGATTATGTTGCATGTAAATAGTAAAATTTCGTAAATTTAGTTCAGTATTACATTTTTATTCCGTGAAATTAATTCGTCAACGTTACGTTAAATAAATTGTGTTTACGTTTTTAATCTTTTAACGATTTTTCCGTAATAATATCTCTATGAACTTGTATTTATAGATTTACCATAATCGTTTAATTTACAATTTCTTTAAAACTATTCTTACATATTTTTATCAGGGACCGTAACAGTTATAAGTTGTATCAAAAAAGTTAATTTATAACAGTTATTTTGTGACTTTAAAAATAAAAATCCATCTGAAAAAGTTATTTTTCAACCTAAAAATAAAAATTCAAATGAAACTTTTAAAAAAGAGTTTTATTTTTCCGTCATAAAATAAAAATTATTTGAGGAGTTTTATTTTTTCCGTCAGAAAATAAAACTCTTTTATGTGAATTGACACCTAAAGCTTGCCACTGATCAGATAGGGAGCAAGAAAACGAAGAAAATGATAATGATGATGAAAAAAAAAGCTTTCTATGAAATTGATAATTTTTCTACACGGCCCTTGTCGATTGACAAGTCCCTTTTTGAGTTCTGGGAAGCAAAAAAAAAACATTACCCCCACTTATACAAATTGGCAAAAACTGTACAGTGTGTTCCTGCAACACTGGTTAGCGTGAAAAGAGCGTTCTCTGCTCTTAAATTGGTATTAAGTGACCTGCGTTCAAATCTTTCCGCAGAAAATTTGGAAAAAATTATGTTTGTTAAATTAAACAAATAAATAACCAAACATATTATATCAGATGTATTCAATAAAATAAGAGACTGAAAAAAATAAAGAAAAATTGTTTAATTATTTGACGGAAAAAATAATAGTCCCCAATTGAGTTTTATTTGTTGATGGAAAAAATAAAACTCCTCAAATAATTTTTATTTTATGACGGAAAAATAAAACTCATTTTTTAACTGTTTCTTGTTTGTTTAACTGTTATTTGTGGAGCTAAGATCGTTTTTTTCAAATCACCATATATTCTGAAAAAGCACTTCAATACGAGTATATTGGTATATAATGGTATAGGTCTACGTTGACTCCAATATAGAGATTTTTTGGGTTAAAAATTTCAGAATAACTGTTATTTACAGTCCCCGATTTTTATATATAATTTATTAAAGCTAAATGTTATTGTCATATCTTCATCTAGTAAAACCACAGCCTGGTATAAATCAAACAGTTTTAAATTAATTTACCACAATTAATATACATATAATTTACGTCAATTTATACTAAGACTGACTGACTGATTCATCATCGAACAGCCCAAACGCCCGAACCTAGAATAATGAAATTTTGACAGAAGATGTGGTTTTGGTTATGTAGATCCACTAAGGAGGGATTTTTGGAAATTTGTACATTTACGGGTAAAAAGGGTAAAAAACGGGTAAAACAGTTTTTCTTAATTATCTTACACAATATTAGTGATACAAGAAAAATTTTAAATGCACCAGTATCTACTCATAAAATGAGTAGATGGGTGCCTGGTACTTTTTTGAAATTCGTACCTTTAAGGGGTAAAAATGTGTAACAAAGGTGATTTTGGTACCTTTTTTGGTCCTTTATAACTTTTGAACTAATTAACATAATCAAATTTTTATAAATATTTTCGATACATCTCCCAAAATTATGAGACACCTGTTTCGTACTTTTTAAAATTCAGTCCTTTTTGGGTTTAAAAGGGAGAAAACTGTATTTATGATACTTTTTTTTAGCGCATTAAGAAAACTTTTTCGGTTTATTGAATTATTCCTATTAAATTACGGACTAACTCTGTAATATTTATTGTAATAAAATTTTTGCTATTTCACTGGGGAAAAAAGTACCAAAAAGGAAAAAAACGGGAAATTTAATTTTATTCAAACTCATTGTGCCAATTTTTATAAAATATGAAAAAGTAGTTTATTTACTCACACAAAATAAGCTGTTGGTATATTATTTTGGAATTCGAGTACTAAGGCCTATATAGGACCAAATTCGAGTAAATTGTTTGGTACTTTTTGAAAGCACTATTTTTCTGGAACAAATGAATGCACATTTGAATAGTTTGAGTTTTATCTGTGATATATAGATTTAAATACGGAACATTTTGTAAACTTAATTCTCGAAAAAGTATATTTCTAAGCGAAAAGGGGAAAAATTGTACTCTTTTTATTAGTACTTTCCACTTAGGTAAAATTTATTCCACTTTTGGTACTTTTTCTTCCTTCAAATGATACTCTTTGTATGCTCTTTAATATGAACTCAAAACACATGATTATTAAACATACATTGAATAAGATTCTTTAAGAGACAACTTCTTAGTACTTTTTATCTCATAAATTGTACTTTTTTAATTTTCTAAAATATTCAACCTAGGAATATTAATTGTAACATACATGGTCTTGACAGAATAATATTCTGTAAGTGGGAACTATTTGGTACATTTCTATTCTTCACATGGTACCTTTTAAATTTTTTATAATGGTTAACCGGTTATTAAATGAGAATTTATTGAGAGAGATTTTTGTACATTTTCGTTTTTCCGATGGTACTTTTTAATATTTTTACGATACTGAACATAGATATTGAAAATAAAATTTAAAATGTAGGGACTTTAGTGAATGAGAATCTACTGAAAGGGACTTTTGGTAATTTTTCATTCATCAAATTAATTTTTTTGAATTGTATATAATATTGAACAAAGAAACATAAAATTTTTGATTAAAATATAATCTATTAAAGGCATTTTATAGTACTTTTTTCAAATAGTACTTTCGAAATTTTTTATAATGTGGAAGCTAAATGAATGAAACTAAAAATACAAGCTTCTTACTGAATGCGAATTTAATCACGTGATATTGAACGTATAAAACTGAAACATTAAAAAAATGTTTAATCAATTTTAATTTTCTATAAATGTAAACAAAGTTTTGTATGTATTTAATTTAAGTTAGGGTAGCGAAGCACCCAGGGTATGCTAGTGTTTTTAATAAAAACATAATATTTTTGATAGTAATAGTTAAGTCAGTATACAAATAATACTTATTATTATAATTAAGAAATAATAGACCCTGGCTATAAACACAAATTAACAAGAATATTAATATAAAATTGTTAGATATATGTAATTATAATTATACATATGTATGTATGTACTTAGTAGATTTGTATAGGATATGTATAGCATATAATATAAAATTATAAAAATATTAAGCATAAGCCAAACAATATTATATATGTACATATAAAACTCATAATTTAAAGTTACAAAACCAAACTAATATTTAAAGCAAATGATGACAGAGACAGCCAAGAAAATACAAACAGGAGACGGTGATCAAAGGATAAAGTTTCTATTGTTAATTTAATATGAAATATAGAGAAAGTAATTAGTTTTATTTCAATAATTTAAGTCAAATTCTTTTAAGTAAAAATAATTAAGTTTAATGTGAAATATTTGTTTGTAATTTAACCAAAATTTAAATATATATGTCTATGAAAAAGGAGTCATGAGGTGTTTTCCTGTGAATTTTTAGATTTGTCCGACAGATGGTGCTGTAGTTTTGAATATTAGTAATTTACACTTAAACCGTTAAAATTATTATTTTATTTAGATTTTTACATGGAAAATACTATGTGCAAAATTAAGGCTAGTAAGGAGAACTATGTTCAGCTAGAAATTAATAATTTGAAGCACAAAAACAACACACTATTCAAATAAGTGATTGAAAGTATTGTATCCAGGCCTGCCAGATTTGCCGATATTTTACCTTCCAAATTGGAAAGTGCCGATTTCCCGATTTTTGCCCAATCGAACAAATTAACGAATTTATTATAACTTTACATAAGCAAAAATTACATGGAGCTTTTAAAACAATTGGGAAAGGAAAATTTACAATACGGTAGAACACAATTTGCTCCATCACCAATGTCAATTGGATCGATTATGAAAATGAAACACAATTTATGTATGAAAATCCTGAATAGGTTCTAAAAGTCTGATCTAAGGGTGCTAAAATTTTAACATTTTTAAGAAATTTTTTATGGTTCGAAAATAAATTTACACATTTTTGTGGAAAAGTTAAAAAATCTGGAGAAAATTTCCCATTATAAAAATGTACTCAGCAAAATCTTTACCTATGCGGTTTTTGTTCGACGATAACCAATAACAAATGTGATAACCCCACTTTCTTGGATTTAAAATCGGCTTTGCACTAATTTTCTGTGTTTATTAATCTATTCTATTTGATCGTGCAATTTGGAATGGTTTTAACAAAAATTTAAAAAACAATATTTTTTCAAAAAACTTCTAATATTGACTAGGATTAGAACCATTAACTAATTCCACATTAGACACACGCTCTAGACAATTGGTTACAAATCCTATTGTAAAAATTAATTAATATTGTTGATAACGATCACTCACTGTCAAGTAATGTATGAAATAACTACATCACTCATAACCAAAATTTGAAAATTTTTTACAGGGTAAATGTATAGTAATCCACAAATAATTATGCATTTACATTTTTCTGCAAAAGTGACACAAATTCTAATAGATTTTATTCCAGTAAACCAAAGTTTCGGTGTACCCTTACAAAGAGTTCTTTTATTAGACCTATTCTGAATAAAAATTCCCTGAGTTATGCATGTATGTAAAAACAATATTGTGATTTTTGAATTTATTTGTGTTATGTTTCTTTGGTACAAAATAGTGTTTCTTTCAATTGTCGATTTATTGCCGATTTTTAAAACGTAAGTGCCGATAAATGCCGATTTTTTGGGAAAAAATTGCCGATATTTCTACAAATTTATCTGGCAGCCCTGATTGTATCTAGTACAACTCTACTCGTAGACTTTCATGGGATTCATTTTCAATCCCTACAATTAAAAATTTTAATATTTTTGTCTTATTTGCGATTATAGACATACTATTATATTCTGAAACAGGCCCTAGTTGGTGGGTATCAAACCTACGTACACAGATTGAAGAAACTAGCCTACCGGGGAAACTATGAGAAATAGCCCCTAATGATATTGTACAATTCCTAGTGGAGTTGTTTTTACATCATCTTTCAGCCTGTGACCTTATAGACTCTCTAACGCCGTCTGAGTACAAACAAAGAAATTCAACTTATTTTCATCGTCCTCAAGAAAAGATCTAAAGTATTAAGACCGCCACACATTTGAAGCGGATAATATTTCCTAGTAATCTATTAGAACTCTTAGAGCAGGTTTTTGAGCTGGCCAATGAATGCCAATTAATAATCATATTAGTTAATCTAAAAATAAATTTAATCTTATGTTAATCCCCTTTGATGTTTTTGAGTACAAGATTAAACTTCGCAGTGTTGCCATACAAAACAACAGAAAACGTCACTCTTTGTTATCAAAACAATGCATATTTTATAAAAAAGAAGAAGACAATTGTAAATTTAATATGAAAATTAATGAAAACTTAAATTAAAAACAAAAAATGTATTTTGAAGTGTCCATAATTTATACTAATCAATAAATAGAACATTTTAATGTTTATATTTATTAAAATTGTATTAATTTTTTTGCATCAGCTGTTTACACTTTTGCATTTCGTGCTTAAGTTTAAACCACCTCAATTGGGCGCTTAAACTTGCAAACAAAATTATCTAATTGAGTACTCAAAAACATCCTTCCAGGATTAATTTTAATTTAATCGTTAAACTTTTACCTAAAGATTGGCCCTTACAGATTTGCTGTTTAGAGTTCTCTTCTAAAGAACTATATTTCCGTATCTATGGGGTATAGATAGATCAATCGATTACAATTAAATTAAAGTATTTATACACAGACAGTGAAAATATTAATTTTTGGTGATTATTTTTTATATAAAATCATACACAAATACGGATAACATTACATTTTTAGGCGGTGAGTATGAGAAAAATGTTTGAATGCGAGCGGGAGGATATAGACAGTAACTTAAACAAATAATCAACGATAATAGAGAAAACGCAAATAAAACCGAGCAAATGAAATTTCGAATTTAAGATAAAGAGAGAGAGAGAGAAACAAATTAATCAAGGAAATGTGATCATGAATTTTGTTTTTTTTTTTCTGTTTTAGTAATTTTAAATAAACAATGTTTTTTAAACGATTTTAGGTGATTAGTAAAGTAAATTATTATTTTTAGAGGAGGAATTTAATTATTATTTAAATTTTTTTTTATTAATTAATTACACAGACCTGGTGTTGTAGCCGAATTGTTATTGTTTGTTAAATGAATGCATTTTTGTTTGTTATTATCAATTTGAAACGAAGAATTGGTCAATTGGTCGCTTTTATCCGATGATCCGCGCTCAATGTTGCCTGCAAAAGAAATTTCGAATTCAAGCCATGCAATTAAATAAAATACGTTAAAAAAAAGAACAGAAATAAACAAACAGTTATAAAATAGAAAATGGCAGTTAAAACTATAAAAAATTATAAACAAAAAAAGGAAAATACATATTAGATATTGAAAGTAAAGAAATTTGTTGTTCCATAAGTTACTAGCTACATCAGTCACAGTTTTAAAAAATTCAACAGTAATATTTCAAAAAAAAAAATTGTGTTCAGTTGGTTATCTCAAATGAATTATTAAAGTAATTTTTTATTTTCGGTTTTAGAACAACGATTTTTTTGCAATTGAAATTATTAATATTTTTAAGTTAAATTAAATTTTCTTTGTTTTTCTTTGGAACAACAATGAGAACTTTTAGTTGAAAGGAATACATATTCTTGAAATGTTGATTTTTATTTGAACAAATGTATGATAATTTTGTTTTTGTTAGTTAAAAATATATATTTAAAAAAAAAAAGCAAAATGCGTATTATTTATTAATAAATATGTATAAGTATGTTTAATTTTAAGGGTATTTTTAATTATTTATTGATATATATATTTTTGTTTAATACATTTATTTTCTTTATTTTATTGTTATGTTTCAAATTAAAGATTAAATATTAATTGCGCACACAACTTATGGTGGCTGCAGATAAATATAATATTAACAAAATTTAAAATAAATATAACAACAAAAGCTAAATTAAATATGACAGTCATCAACAAATTGAACGAAAATTTAAAAATAATATTCCCCAACATATGCTAATACATTTCTTTTAATATACATATTGCCTATCTTCAGAATATAGTAGGAATCCAAAAATATAGGAAACGGCATGAGTTTTTCCGAACTGAATTACATTTCAAAGTCTTTTGAGTTGTCATTAGCCTATTGACTGGCCTATGGGAAAGTCTGTGGATTAGGCTGTTGAATAGTCTATGGACTAGTCTATTCACTAACTAGTCTATGGACTCATCTGTTGACAAGTTTATGAATTACACCTCTATTGACTAGTGCACAAGCTAGTTTGTTGACTAATATATGGACTCGTATATGGACTAGCTTATAGACTATTATATTGACTAGTATTATATAGTATATTGATTAGACTATTGACTAGTCTATTAACTAGTATACCTATTTGATTATGTACTAATATATGGACCAGGCTATTGACTAGTCCATGGAATAGTATATTCACTAATCTATTCTATTGACTTAGAGCGGGTTTTTGAGATGGTTATCAAATGCCAATTAATAATCAGATTAGTTAATCTAAAAATAAATTTAATCTTATGTTAATCCCCTTTGATGTTTTTGAGTACAAGATTAAACTTCGCAGTGTTGCCATACAAAACAACAGAAAACTTCACTGTTTGTTATCAAAACAATGCATATTTTATAAAAAAGAAGAAGATAATTGTAAATTTAATATGAAAATTAATGAAAACTTAATTTAAAAACAAAAAATGTATTTTGAAGTGTCCATAATTTATACTAATCAATAAATAGAACATTTTAATGTTTATATTTATAAACATTTTATTAATTTTTTTGCATCAGCTGTTTACACTTTTGCATTTCGTGCTTAAGATTAAACCACCTCCATTGGGCGCTTAAACTTGCAAACAAAGTTAACTAATTGAGTACTCAAAAACATCTTTCGAGGATTAATTTTAATTTAATCGCTAATCTTTCACCTAAAGATTGGCCCTTATAGTCTATTGACAATATTATGATGAGCAAAAATTTCGAAAAAATTCAATGTTAAAAAGTACTGAAAAAGTACAATAATACTGAATTTTTCATGCCTGATACCAGGGTTGGATTCTAAAACTATCTATGACGTTATAAAATGATTTGTAATGTACATATATCAGAGCTGTAATTGAATCATTCATTTTTTAATTATTTCGCAAATTATTCATGCATTAAATTAGCAATTTTTTAATTAATCTTTTCTCACAAAAAATTCATTGAAAGAAATTTGAGTCAATTAAAATGAATTTGAGAGAAATGAATTGTAATTATTTTTCCAATTTAAATGAATTTGCCAAATGAATTTCATTTCGTTTCTAATTTAAACGAATTTGTAGAATGAATTGCAATTCCTTTCGAATTCAAATGAATTTGTCAAAGTAATTTGAACTCATATGAATTGGAAATTAATTGCAGTTCCTTTTTATCAAATTCATTTGAATTAGCTCAAATTTCAATTATCGTTTCACCTTTTCAGCGTAAATTCGTTGTCAGTTGAAAATTTTAAATGCGTTTATGCAAAATCGTGTTTTTTAATAAATGACACTCTTTTAGTAAATGAGCTATATGTATACATATATACAATGTTTAGCGAATTTGTGAAACACAATTATGTTGTTAACATTTTGATAGGAGAAATTTTCGTTTTTTCATTCGCTCTAGATCTGTTCTTGAATTTGATTGATTGCAACTCATTTTTGATTTAATTTATTTGAATTACAATTTCAAATTCAAACGAATTGGAAATTAATTGCAATTCACTTTAACGAATTCATTTGAATTGGAAATGAATTGCAATTCATTTTACAGATTCATTTGAATTGGAAATGAATTGAAATTTATTTATCAAATTTCATTCAATTCTTTTTTCTTGTGAAAAGAATTAATTCAAAAACCAAAAAAGAATGATTCATTTACAAATCTGCTCTTAAAGAAGTTTTTAGTTTTAATAAGGAAATTAACTAAAATCGAAAAGTATTTTGCAGACACCACCGAACAATACCTGTGTCTGCTAGAGGTCTGTCCATCATATAAACATATATTGCAATTTTCAAAGAAAGCTGACCTCTGAAGGACTCAGGCTATGCAACTCACTAATGAAATCAAATCTATTAATTAATTGAAAACGTTTTATATTTAATTGGTTAGTTTAATTTTTTCTGCTAGTTACATACGCATGTAACCATTTGTAATTTCTTAAAAACAACAGCTATTCTTATTTGGAAATAAAGCTTAAAATTCCTCAAAGGTTATAAAAGGTTTTTGTTTTTTTTTTTTTTTTTTTTTGTATACCACAAAGTATTTATGTATTTTTTTCTTTATTTTAGAGGCGACATTATAAATTAGTACAACTACTACGCATTAGATTAATTGTCCTGCAGTATAATAGAAAACCGGGGACTTTTAAATCTACTCTTTTTTCGGTTTGTATGTATTTTTGTTGCTACAGAAACGAATTTCTCTTTTTCCACAATGTTTTGTAAATAAAGTATTATTGTCTATAGCCTTGACCATATCAAGGACAATGGAAAAGGATTGTAATTAAATAGTAGAAGTGGCTATGTGTATGAAAAAAAAAAATTAAAAATAGCAACAAACTGAACTTGTTGAGTTTGGAACAAAAAAAAAAAATACTAAATTTATTAGAAATTATTGTTTTGTAAGTACATAATTACAGTTAAAAAAACATTTTTTTTTAAATTAAGTTTAGTTTTTGTATAAAATAAATTGTTTTTAAAAACTTTAAACATTAATAAACTATAAGTATAGCTAGTGCGTATTTTTCTAATACCCCGTTCAATATTCTTATCATTTTTAAATAAGGCGCCATTAATTACGTAGACAAACAAATTAAAGATTATTTCAGTTTTTACACAAATACACTCCCCAATTCATTCACTAAATCATTAAATAACGTTCACAATTTAAAACAAGTAAGAAAGTATAGTCGGGCGTGGCCGACCATATGATACCCTACACCAGTTATGAATATTAAATGTGATTTATTTTTCATAATATCGCATTTATCTTCAATATTCCCTTGTTCCGATACATTTAAGCAATTTATGGATGAAAAACTAATTTTCTGAAAGAGGCTTTATATGGGGGCTAGGGGCAAATATGGACCAAGCCCGATAAAATTTTGTGAATATATTTATATTTACATAATATTTTATTGTGCTGAATTTCATCGCGATATTTGTGTTTATAAGTTAATTTGGGACATTCAAGTAATTTTCTGAAGGGGACTTTGTATGGGAGCTAGGGTCAAATGGGGCCCGATCTTTATGAAATTTGACAGGGTTATCAAGACTTCTATAAAACTTAGTTATGCCGTATTTTATCGATATATCTGTATATTTAACATAATTATGAGCTCAGAAGCCCTTTTCGGGGGGTTCTGTTCTATGGGGGCTAGGTGAAATAATGGACCGATTTTAACCATTTTCAATAGGCTTCGTCCTTGGGTCAAATAAAACGTGCGTGCCAAATTTCATCCAATTATCTTGAAAATTGCGACCTGTAGCTTGCGCACAAGGTTTACATGGACAGCCAGCCAGCCAGCCAGCCAGCCAGACGGACGGACGGACATAGCTTAATCGACTCAGAAAACGATTCTAAGCCGATTGGTATACTTTAAGGTGGGTCTAGGACGAATATTTTTATATGTTACAAACATCAGCACAAATCCAATATACCCTCCCCACTAAAGTGGTGTAGGGTATAATAAAGTGTGTCGTTCTATAAAAATTTATAATTGAAATGCTACATGTAGAGCAGCAAGTGCAGCACTGTTGCATTCTCTAACTCACACAAGTATAATGTGAGAACTTTATGAATGAAGCATAAAAATATGTAACGCATGAGAAAACGCATAAAAACTTATGCACAAAAAAAAATATAATAATGTAGCAATTATTGACAACCAAGCAACACACCACAGTACAGTGTAATGTACTAAATGTAATGCATCACAAAATGCACTTAAATTTTACAAATTGCATGACGAAATGTTGTACACATACATTTCAAACCCCCCATTTATAAACTGACTGACTCAATCCCATCATAAACATTGAGCTATTATTTCGAATGATGTCTACTATTGAATTTTACAATGTTTTAAGACTGTATTCGCACTATATGGCAATGTACTGTTGATGATTTAGTTGATATTGCACTTATTGTTGTTATTTTAAAGAAATATGTACTATTTTAATA